CTCGCTGTGTTCTGTTCAAGTCCCCTGTCTTCCACACCTTACAAGGCTCCCCTGTGTATAATTGGTGACCTGTTGCTTTTTTCCAACTGCATTTGACAGTTATGAATTGGTGAGAGCATGCAGACATCCTGATTAATGGGAACCTCAGTGAGTGCCATGTAATTGCAAAGGATGAGAAGGCAAGCACAGAGGAGAGAAAAGGAGCCAAAGTAATGAACCAATATGTGTTTATGGGGTTTTTGTCTTTGCATCTTAGTAATTTAATTCCATTCAAAAGTCAAGAGTCATAGAAGTTCTTTTTACACAGAGATCTTTATTTCACCTTTGTGCTGTGACACACTGAGGCAGTAATTTTTGCAAAGGGAGCATTGACTGAGTGTTAAGTGTGCAATTCAATTTATCTAGCATACCCGGTGTATTCCAACAAATCATAACCACCTTTTCTACCATAAATTTTCCTTCCACTTAGCTTAACAACATGCATGGGAACAGCCAGCTTCTTTGGCAATGATCTTTTATGTCTTATCCAAGGCTGTTGTAACAGAATATTTTAGTAATCGAGTACTCTATCGATTATTTTTACGATTCAGCGAGTAATCAGAAATCTCTCTCACACGCACCAGCGTTGATACAGACGCCATGCAGTTTCAAGAGAAGAAAAGCTGTCGCACTCCAAGCATCGTGTTCGTCCATTGAGATTGAAAATCCTAATCGTGTCCGTCCATTTAAAAATGCTTAGTGGTCCCCCCAAAACACGGTAAAAACATGGAAAATTTGACATTGTGCTGCTGGCACTTAGCAACAACTCATAGGCGGAAGTGAGAGCGCTGAACAAAACAAATCATGATCCGGCCGGAACACGGTGCGCTAAATAATAAAGCATAATTTAACAAAGCTTCGAGGCAGATAAATTTTCCTCGAGGAATTTTAATAATTGAGGTACTTGAATCATTCAAGGAATTGTTATAGCCCTATAATCTTATCCTCCTTGTGGAGAACTACCAGCTGCATAAATGTCAAGTCAGCAGTCTTCCCTTTAGTTGTGCCGTCACACAACTATGGACAAATAATTTGTATGTGTGTAATGTATTTTTTTGAGTTCTTGGTTTCATGAACAGTAAGGCATATTTATTTAAATTCATTGAGATGAACACCTTAATATCCGTGTGTAATGTATCTATACGTAAGTATCCAATAAATAGCTGGTATATATTGTACTTCAATAAGATCTTTCTTAGAGAGAAATCTCTCTATCAGTTAGCTGCAGTTTGTCAGTGACATTATTTTTCTTTATCAGCCATAACATATCCTAATTCGTTTTCTAATGAATATGATAATTATTTTGGCCACTAGTATTTGAGGATAAATGAGGGTGGCAACAGTAACGTATGTGATTTAGCCCACATCTGGTCATACGTAGTCAATAAAAGAAGAGGAGAGACATAGCACACAACGCACACACTTCAGTAGATTTGCACACCGCCAATTAACCCGGTACTCCTCACAGCTGCCGACCTCGACTTTGCTCCTGCCAAGACGGACGTGGGTGGCTCCTCAACCTAAATCAATCTGTACTAATTGCTGGTCTTGGCTCCCCTGCGTCTTTACCTTGCTGCTTGTCAGCATCCTTTCTACCTGTCTGATTTGACAAGTATTTCCTACATCTTTGAGAAACCGTGATGGCTTAGGCTACTTGAAAGGTCACTGTGTCTGATTTAGTTAGTCTGTCAAGAAAGTGTGCTGCAGAACTGTCTACGCTCTGGTCGAAGATCTTTTGCACTCATATATCTGAGCAAAGTAAGAGAGATGAATTTACACCTTGCTCTTGTGGCGCCTTGTGAAAGTATTCTACAAATCATAACCTTTAGCCTCTTATTTGGAGTTTTCTGGAATAGAAAAAATGTAGTGCATGATACTTTTAGAAATACAAATATTAGAGGGCCATGGATTTATTTCCATTCAGCCCCCTTTACTCTCATACCGCCAATCAAAATCAAGACTAGTGAAACCATTTTTTAATATAAACTGCGTAGCACAACTGCAGACCTGCAAGACATGGTTGACAGTGATCCACTGCTTAGGTGGAGAATCAGTCAAAAGCACGTTTGTTCAAGAACTTCACACATGTAGCCTTCATGTAAGACTGCCAAGAAGAAGGCTATGGTTTAACAAAAGCTGTAAGAAGTCCTCTTTGTAGTAGAGATACCCAAAAAAAATCTACAGTGTTATCTGAGAAAAAGGTTGGTCTATAGAGCATTAACTCTGGGACTGAATACAAATTATCATCAGGCTTTTTAGGTTTTCACTGATAAAAGATCTTTGAAAACCATCAACGCTTTTATTTGTACTTCACAATTATGCACTGCTTTGTGGTAGTCTATTTCAGCGTGGAGTAAGTATTTTTGCGACCTCTGTCAGCATGACAAGTTTGTGCTATATGAATTTTATTTATATTTTACAGATCTTTTCCTGAGCTCACTTATTCCTGCGGCAGACATAACCAATTTGTCTTCCTCAGTCGACCCGTTTGCAGGCCAAAAATGTTCTTGTCACCATTAAACATGCTGCCAGGATCCCAGGCCTGAGAACGGGACCAAGAATGGAATGAATTTATACTTACCCACATCACTCATGGCCACCAGAACCTTAAAAGGAAATATAAGAAGAAGGTAACTGTTCTGTGTCATTTCCTCAAAAGCAGTCATCTGTCTTGTTTTGGCTTTTCTCCCCCTCATGCTGACAGAGGTCATGAGTTTATGCAGTGCATAGTGCATAGTATGAGGTTAACAGCAAATAAGTCAGAGTCAATGGTATGATTTGAATGTGACAAAAATAGGTAAGGAGCATATAGCAAATAACAGGGGGAACAGGAGAGAGAGCCCACAGTCTGGTTTCTGTAGAAGTTGATTTATTCTGTATGCCTGGTCAAATTGAGGTGTGGAGGTTAAGGTGGGATGATTAAACTATCTTAATGGTCTTCAAAGTTAAGAATTTGGGAATTAGGAATTGATTGTAGGTTTATTTCTGATTTGTTATTAGCAACATAATAATAAAAAGCAAAAAGTTGCCTAATGCCTCATCTATCTGCGTTAGGGCTGTCACAGAAAGAAACCCCCCAAGGTCAAGACCACTTGAGTGGTCATGGATGTCTGTACAAGACATTACAGATGGACATTACAGACTCTGAACTGGTCACCATTCATCTAATAGATGGTAGCAAGAGAGGAACAGTGGAGAGAGAGAGACAAAATGAAATGAGATGTAGGAGGGAATGATGAGAAGGGCTGTGGAGTTTGTATTGTTTGTGTGATTCTGGGAAGAATATTTTTCTCTTCATGCTTTTTAAGTAAAGGTTAAGTTTAAATTTCCTAAATGATCAAAAATATTATAAAATAAATTAAAGATAGCTGTTTCTGATGTTGAAAGGGAAGAGGTAACTCTCTGGATGCACTAGATACATTTTGCTTTATAAAGTGCAATGCAGTTTTTGCACTTTATGGAAGATTGTGCAGCTCTGCACAATTGTTATCTGGACAGCTTGGTTTAATTTGATGCTCTGTAGTCTTGAGGTTGTTAGACACATACCTCATCAAGCACTTATCTAATGAAACTGATCAATGCTTATATTTAGCAAGTACAATTCTGAAACCATAATGAATAAAACTACATTTGCAGAGGCTTAAATGACAAGGTTTGATCTTTTGTATTTGGTGTATCATTGCTCAAATGTTGCGATACCTTCACTGTTTTCGTCTCTGACAGTATAAATTGTAAACATTTCAAGCTGCCAAATTTGAAGCTACCTGTTTATTTGTACAGTGGGTGTGACAGTATTTTGCGCAGGATCTTAAGTTACATGTGGAACCTGCCCGCAACCAAATCCATGCCAGATTTTGACAAACAATGCCCAATAATTTAAAAACAGCATCAAGTTGAACAACTTTCTCTCTTTGCCATTGCCAAAACTACGAAATAACACATCTCTGGAAAGTAGGTAGTTAAATTCATAGGTAATGAGATTACACTCTTTGTCTCCATAATATCCAGAATAAGTTTATTTTCAGCAAGACACCAATCTATCCTAATATTGGTATTTATTTTTCTGTTGGGATAGACATAAAGATTGTTATAATCATACCAGAAAAAACTAATAAATTTCCATTCACACTTTTCAGAGGTCACAAAGCATAGCTCTCACAATGTGAGCTGGACTTTAACATGTCAAGAACTTTGCAATAACTTTAATGAAAGTCCTCAGTTTATAGTGATGTTGCTATAAAGTCAGTACAGCTCACATTTATGGAAGATTGGCCAAGCTTTGCTGAAAGAAAGCCATAAAAAGTCAAGATTTCAGTACGAAGGTGCCATGGTCAGACGAAATCAACACAAAACATTTTGGTCTACAAGCAAAACACTAGCAGCACAAAACTTTCATTTTTTATGAGTTGTTGTCCAACCGCATCCAACTTAGAGATAAAGTTTTCACTAATGCCTTGAAGAAAGCGATAAAATGATGGTTTGTAAACTGTCTGAAGAAAGGAACAAGAAGAAAAAGATACGAAAACAATGAAATACTAAATAATTCCTTACCAGGAGAAAAAAAGCAATATTTATATAGCTGTTGTCCATGAGACGTAAATTATTCAAATAGAGAAAACAGCAGATCTGATTGTTGTTTTTCTTCTGCTCATGACCTGACCTGCTGTTTTGTTTACCTGCTGTACGGTGAGACCCTCTGAACATGAGTTTTATTGTTCCTGCAGTCAGCGCTGTCTGAAGAGCCTGGGCTCCGCAGAAAATCCTGGCAACCATTGTGAGTATGTACAGATGGCAAAATATACATCGCACAGGCTTTATAGCTGAACAAACCACATAGCAGACTTTATGTATGATGTAGACTCAATGCTACAAATCACACAGCGCACACAATCCGAACAGTAAGACATAATGGTGGTAGCATTACGGCATTATGTGAGGAGGCTTTTCTTTAATAGGGACAGGGAAGCTGGTTGGAGTTGATGGGAAGAAGGATGGAGCTAAATACTGGGCTATCCGGAAGGAAAACCTTTTAGGGACTCGTGGGCTGATTAAAAGCAAACACCACACATATTTCCTTTTTCATTTCCTTAAAAAAAAAATTGAGACCTGCATATTATTTTCTATCCACTTTACAATGATGAACAACCCAGCATGCCTAGGTGGGCCCCATGTGGGGACAAGGAGGGCAGACTATATGGGTCCCATATGGGTTTGTCCGCGGGTTCCACGATGGCCCCACATGGGTTTGCCCATGTAGGGCCAGAGCCCACATGGGCCCTGCATGGGCCCTATATGGTGGTGGCCCACATGGGTTTTGTCCAATTAGGGCCCATGTAGCACCCATGTGGGCTGTGGCCCTACATGGGCAAACCCATGTGGGGCCATCGTGGAACCCGCGGACAAACCCATATGGGACCCATATAGTCTGCCCTCCTTGTCCCCACATGGGTCCCACCTAGGCATGCTGGCTGGGAATTTGAGCTGGTTTACTGTTAAGTCAGTGGTTGAATCAGCAAAGAACTGTTATATAGCTATAGCTAACTTAAGGTCCACTGTGCTACTTTTGCCTTTGCTAGGATGAATTAGATATTTATTTTAACGCAAGGAATAGAAATCTAGTCAACTTGAGAATAATGAGATTCAAGTCGCCAGCCACTCATTCATTGCAACTCTAGTTTTAATAGTTTTCAGTAAAATGAGCTAAACTCTGATCAAACAGAAGTGGCTTCAGAGGCCTTGCTTCAAATAGACTGCTATGTTGTATGCATGTGTGTGTGTGTGTGTGTGTGTGTGTGTGTGTATTTGTGTGTGTGTGTGTGTGTGTGTGAGTGTTTGTGTGTGTTGAGTTATTACAAATGGTTTGCCAGAAGGAGCTAATTGAGCCCTGAACAATCCGACTATTTGACTTGTCAGAACACTCAAGAATCTGTCACCTAAACTGCGCTGTTTGAGTTCTTTTGCATGTATTTATTACAATGTCAGTATAAGATCTGTCCACAAAATTAGTTCCTTGCTTCCTTCTCTGGAAACAACTCCCGAATGAGACAAAGCATCAGCTAACATGTAACAGGAAATGGTGTGAAGTTCATTAAACTTGGTCCCGGTTTGATTGTAAAACAAGCTGCATGATAAATGGTAGAAAAGAAGAGTTGAACGGTAGAAAGAGGTAATAAAAAAACAAAATGTCATCTCTCCGCTGGAGAGCAGCTCACTGCTCTTTTGCCCCCTCTCTTATTTCCTCTCCTGTGCACTCATATTTTCAGTGGAAGAAAACTTGAGATCCAGATGTTGGACTCTCGCTGCAGATGTGCTTCCATGCAGGCCAAGAAATCCTAACTAGAGTTGTGCACACACGTGAAACTGAGCTTGGACAATTGACATGAACTCATAACTTGGAAAAAAGAAAGGCACATTCACCGACCTACGGCTGCATCTGGGTTTGTAAAAACTCCTGAACAGACCACTGAGACAACCAGACAAACAACTGGACATGAAAGCACCTTGTTCCCAGCGCATTCATGTTTTCTTTTGTACAATTACTCCCTACTGCACTTTATTCACTTAACAGTCAATAACTGCGTCCTTCTTTCAGGCAAGAATAAAACAGGCACAAACACAAGAGCTGCCTAATGGTTCTCAAAATGGCTTAAAATATTAATGTTTTCTCTGTCAACCACTTGCATGCCTCGAAGCCCGTTATTTTAAAAACAAGCTACACTTGAGTGACCTTGGCTGTCTTCAACCAAAGATTTAATGCTTATGGAATAAGTGGCAGCAGTGAAGAGGGCTGAAGCACTCAGAATATATTTACGGGAACATAAATGTAACAAATAAAGCAGTTATTGGCTTTTATTTTGGATTATTTTGCCATTCTGAATTGATGAATTAATGTATGATTAAAGAGAATTAATTAAAAAAACACCATTAATGGCATCTGAAATGCTGTTACATTGTCACTCATGCTGTTAAATGATAAGGTTGTTTTATTGCAGTATTTTTGCATTTCTATTTACAAAAATCTGACCTTTAATTTGAATGATTTCATTTAATAACCTATTAAAAAACTGAGCCGTTTTGTGATTTAAGCTGTGTTTTAACCCTTTCATTCATGAATTATGATCCTTTGTGTCAGGATTTCTTTCCCATTTTTTTATTTTCTTAAGGCATAAAAAAGGTAGGATTTTTTTTTTTTAAATCAATTTTTTTAGATGATCAATTGTAATTTTCTCCAATAACAAAATTATTTGAAAAATACATCAGTAGTATTGTTCTTTAGGGGTTATCTGATGTCACAATATTTTTTCTTTTACCTGCAAGAGTCGTCTGCAGTAGAAGGAGGGACCGGGTCGGTTGGCATGGCTTTTTTGTCTGTCGGCCATATTGGATTTAACAAAAATAATTTCTTACATTTGCAGCTGATGGCCAGCAGTTGATAGCGTATTTTATGATGCATTAGTGTCCACTTCAGTGGTCTGTGTGCATTTATAACATAAAAATCCACAAGAAGCACAAGAAAATGTCTTTTAGATAGCTGTCCACTGTAGTGACCATTATGCATGAAAGGGTTAAGTGGATTTTACGATCTAGGAGCTAAAGTGCAGCAAAGAGTAGCATCTTATTGTCACCCAGTGCTCTTAACAATTAGATGCTATATATCAACTCACTGGGAAGCATAAAAAAAGAAACATTTTCTGTTCTACCACCAAAATGTAAATGTGTGGAGTTTGTTTTTCCTAAAACTGAAAAAGGAATGTTATTGGATCTTTAAAAACGTGGATAATTCAAAGCATTTAACACATGAGCGTACTATGAGCGTACTTTATCAGGACTTTCAATAGCTGTGGATGGTGCTGCATTTGGCTCCAGGCAATAAAAAGAAATTGACATTCTGTAACCATCTTTCTTTTCAAAGACAACTATTTGTTCCCTTTTTTTTTTTTTATTTGCATCAAAGGAAAATGCCACAGATAACCCAGTTTGACAGGTATAAATTTGTGCCACTGCTCTGAAACCCAGAATCTAGAAGCACTATATTCAAGCACCACTTTTCATCCACAAAAATGTGTCCGTGCTTGAGAGCAAGAATATATATATGTATATATATATATATATATATATATATATATATATATATATATATATATATATAATTTAAGAAAAAATATGTCCCTGCCCTGGATATCTCAAAGTCTATTTATTGTTCATGCCTAAGTTTTTTTTATTTTTTTTTTTAGAAATAATAATTTGATAAACTTCTCACATTGTGGTCGTACATCTACAGGCACTGATTGTTAATTTAGGGTTTGGAAAGCTGCTAGTTGGCATGTATCAGTCAGGTCCTGTTTCTTTTCTCCACAGGAGTAGAAATCACCTGACTGGCAATCATACAATGGCTGACGATAACCCTGAACCTCAGCTAGCCGTTCAATTCATCTCTGATGCGGCAAGAAAAAAAACGGTCAAAGGTATGTTTGCAAGAAAAACATAAAAAAGTAAAATAGATTAGTTTAGACGCGGAAAAAAATCACCTAATTAGAACAAATGAAAGCGGTCTACTCCATCCTATCGGCCCCCCTCACTCCTCCCTTCAGAGGTACAAACACTTCCTCATTTCTTAATCTTGCTGCTCGCTGCTGTCATCCACCACATTACGGAGACACATAAGCACAACAAAATAGTCCTGTCGCCAAAACTACACGCACCAATACACACACAAAGCACACCAGCATATGGGTCAGATTTAATCGCCATAATTTCATTTCCCCCCTCATCAGCGCCAAGCCAGATAGACTAAGTCCCATTTGTAACCACCGCAGCGCTACTGGAAGGAAATATACCAGATAAGAGGACTCTTGTAATAAGCTGGCTGTGTGGATCAGATAAATGAAGAGAGCTTTTTTTGCTAGTTAGTTGGAGAAATGTATTGTAGTAGTGTAGAAACCCTGAACTGTGTAGCTTGAGGATAAAAAAAAAAACTAATTGGAGAAACAAATTAACTTTGTTGATTGGTTGCAAGATTAAGGAAGCTCCCAGGAAATGACTCAGTCACCTGGGAAATCTTGTCAGGAGATCGCATTGTGATGTCAAGGCAAATAAGCATAACACCTTGTATTGTTTTAGAGTGAAGTTTAAACCTTGTCATCATGAGCATGATTGTCATATGATTGTCATATTAATTTTTAGCTTTAAATGATTTATTTATATCAGATCTTTTTTTAGCATTTGAATGATTAGTTTACCTCTTACACCCTCAGGGGGTATAAATAAATTTAAACTTAACATTTTGGGCAAAACCTTTATGCGGAATAGTTTTTGAAAGATCAAAGCCTCTTTTAGCGGATAATAAAAAATAAAAAAAAATGTAAAGGCACGTGGAGCCTTTGTTTACAGAGCGAGCCGAGGTCACGTGGCAGCTGGACCCACCGGTGGGTCCGTCGGGTTCTAGGGGTTAAAGGGCCAGTGTTAGACCAGCTTCACCAGCTGATCAAAGACCTACCTGGAGTGTTGCTTTGATTCTTTCATGCATGTTTGAGAAATCCTTTAAACTCCCATGGCAACCATTGATTTGTGGGTGGGCTGCGCACCACCCACTGCTGCTCCAAGGAGGAGTTTCCAAGCTTTTGAGCTTCCGCCTCACAGAGCAGCCCTCCCTGTGACTCCCCCACTCAGCTCCTTCAGACTAGCCAGCAGCAATTAGAAAATATCTGGTGCAACTGCGCACCTGCTGAGCTCCTTCTACGAGGTACTTCTCATTGAAAAGCTGGTAAAAACATTGCTAAAGGGTTGATAGAGGAGCAATGATGTGATGACTTCCTGAAGGCAGAGTTTCAGAAAGGAGTTTCTTAAAGAGACAGGCCAAACATCAAGGTGCTAAATTGTATATATCGGATATCTTTTAGCTGATGTTTGATATATACAGCACTTTTATAACTGAAGGTAGCTTACATAGTTACTTGATTGTACTATAAAATCACTCTGTTTGTCTGGAAAACACAAAATACTGGCTTTTGGTTACAATCGGTTTGTAATCAAGACCATTGTGTTATGCTAATTTATCTATTTAAAAATCAGTTGTAATGTGTGTTTGAATCACTGTACTGCCAGAACAGCCAGTGTTATCTAAATCCAATCATCTGACCCAAACGGTTACTCTTAAGTTAATGTATCTTATTCTATAAATGAAGGTTAAATTGGTTAAATAATACGGTATGACTAGTAATTTAGGGCAAATTGTGTTTCTTTGTTTTCAGTCATTATTTCAACCTTTCTCCAAATGACAGGTGAAGATGAGCACCAGCTCCACTGTGACCTTGTAAGGATAATCGGGTAGAGATGATAGTTTTAATGGATATTTATACTAAATTGTAATGTTATTAAAAAAATGTATAGTAAATTACTTCACAATGAAAAAAATATATAATTAATTCACAATAAATCATCCTTAGGAAGTAAGAAGTCCTATTAACAGCTATTATACTGCTCAGCAACAGTATAACAGTAGACATGTTTCTGGTTTTATTCAATGAACTACACACACCATCTAGATTATTTAAAGCACCTTCCCTTATTGCATGTTGATTCAGAATCAAAAAAAGGAGGAGAGACTGTTTCCGTCTCTTTTTCTGTTCTTCTGAAAGAAAATTAGTGTTCTTGTGAGGCCACTGAATTGGTATAATTACATGGGTTTAAATGCAAATTTACAATGTGCCTATTAATTCTATTCTGTTCATTTCAAATGACTGACTGCACTTAATTAAATCAGATTGATTAGACCTTTTCAAGACTTTCCCTTTACAGCCACATAATTATGACAAATAGAGCCACTTGACACCAAATGCAGAGGACTAGGCTTTCTTTTTCTCTGCCAGTCAGGGTCTTTCAAGTCCTCGCGAAGGGCGGGCGACCAGAATGTCAAAATGGGACAGCGCATTATTCTCAAGGCACGATGTTTATTTTTACAGTCAGTTAAGGCTTCTGACCTGTTGTTCTCGTCTTTACCAAACCGTTCGTGAAAACATTACATCAGCCATTACCTCTACCCACACAGCAGCTCCATTCAAACACCCCCGGCCTCCCGTTTCATGTCTCGGCGCAGATTGTGCTTGTTCCATTTTACGATGTTCCTCATCATTACACCCACACGCTCTGCGGAAATGGGTGACCATCTCGATTAATGAATGCTGGTTGGAAGATTTCGACTTGGTCTTTGCCTTAAAATAGAAATGGAAAAATCGAAAGGGAAAAACTGTGAAATATGGGAGACATCAAGTTTTTGTGTGTCGACTTTTTCATCTTGAAGTATGAAGTATTTTCTGGACTTTGATATGTAAGAACATATTTTTTACTTTAAGGTGAACTTGTATTAATCTGTCAGTCAATGGACCATCCAGACTGATTACATACATCCATACTGCAGATTCAGAACAATTCAGAAGCT